TTTGATGCAGAATCGTAGCAGCAGTATTTTCAACAACCTGCCGAGTGCAGTAAGAAAATGGCTGTCATTTACGAGCAGCGGCTCCCAGCCAGACTTCCATGTCTGCAGCTAACATGACATCTCTCCTGCTGTGGCCCATCAGTCCGGAAGATTCCATCATCATGATGCAGGCTGATAACCTGAGGCGGGATACCTTTAGACACTGTGTGTGTGTGTGTGTGAGACTAATTTTCAAATCATAATACTTTGGTTTTATAGATGTAGTTGACAAATACTGTATGTGTTAGTTATTACATAGTAATAATAATAATATTATTATGATTATTATTGTTGTTGTTGTTATAAATAATAATTATAAATGACATGTAATATAATATGTATATAATAATGAATAATAGTTATTATAAACAATTTATTAAATTAAATCACAAATTATGCATTATCATTTAAAATAAATTACTGCAGTTCACATTAAAATTTCATGTCAACTACCCATGTTTAATGGTGAATGATTACCATAATAAAATACCATGATATTTAGATAGAAATCAGTCCATGGTATCACCATGATAGCATGCCCAAACTGCACGATTGTACCATAGTGCTTTTTTTGGAAAGTAATTGTGTTGACACCGATAAATGATATATGAGTTTATAAATGTAAACCCTGGTATATACTTTTTCCCCATAGGCGCTTTTTAAAAATCTTTTTAGATTGTCTGTCCCACTCTGTGCTGATAGCCCTTCTTGTGCTAGTAATCCAGTTGGACAATCTCACACAGGCCCCCCTCAGCTGGGCAGGATTAGCAGCAGACACACACGTAACAAAGCCGAACATTTGGCTTTGGCTCGCCAGGACTCTGTCCGATTTCTGGCACACTTTTGGAGCGTGTCATTCGTCCCACTGCTATTGTTTAGCCCAGACAAATATCAAGGAGAGAAAGCAAAGCACGGCTAAATCATACTCATCCCCCCTCTCTCCCACAAACACTTACAGCCTCTGCCAGCACAGACAGACAGACAGACAGACAGACAGACAGACACTCAGACAGACAGCAGGTCTTCATAAAACCTCACACTGAAGACTAGTTACAAACTGTTTATGATTAGTAAATCCACGCTTCATTAAAACTGACAAAGTCTAAAAGACTTGGCATTGTTTTCCAAAGATTTTGGGAACATCACACACAAATCAAATGTTTGTTTATTTATTTGCTTGCTTATTTATTTATTTGTTGAAAGATTTTCCACAGTGTCAAATGATAATTGTTTGTTTTATTGTTTGTTTGTTTCAAAGATTTTCCACAGTCACTGTCAAGGAATGTTGTTTGTTTAGTTGGATTTGTTTTAAAATGTTTCCACTTTCAATGTCAAATGACACTTGTTTGTTTATTTATTTATTTAGTTTATTATTTTTGTTTTTCAAAATGTTTCCACAATGTCAAACGATGTTTCTGTTTGTTTGTGTTTTATTTACTGTTTTTTATAAATGTCAAGCAATGTTTATTTAGTTGGTTTTGTTTATTTATTGGTTTTGTTGTTTTTGTTTCATATCTTGTTTGTTTTATGCTGTGTTTAGTTTGCAAGCTCTCATTTGTGCGTAATGTGTTATCGCACTTAAAGACCATCACAAAAGTTAGATTTTCATGGTTACTTCAAACGCCGTTGGTTCTCGTGTGTTTCGTAACTGATCGTGATGCTGCGGAGGGGAGGATTTGGTATAGCTCTCCTCAGACTTCAGCTATATTAAAAAATGAGTGATAGATTCTTCTACTGCTCCATTGCAGATGCCATTTTTCACTTTCCCAACTTTCAATCTAAGTTTCTCATTAGTTTGTGTGTCAGCTTTTCTACAGACCTCATTAAAGCGTATGTCCAAGTATGAGGGACTGCTTTGGGGAATAGTGTTAGTCTCGTCACTCTCATGCTTAGGCACGGTTCACTCGGCAAACAGCGGCAAATTATGTCTAAAAACAGCGGGAGTTATGTCTTCTCCGTTCTTCATCAGCTAGAAGAAGCACAGCCTCAGGATAAGGTCATCCTTTTCTTCATCTCTCATCTTTATTCAGAAGCTGTTGCACACCTCATTTTGCTCTCAATCTATCTTGTCTTGACTTCTTTCTACCTTGTATGTCTGCAACATTGTAAATGAAATTAAATAATAAAATGACTAGAATTGGAATTAATTTACAAAAGTATGTACTTTGCTGCTTTTGGCTAAGTCCATACTTTGGAGTTGGCAGTAAGATTATTGGGATTTTCTATCACATCATAAAATTGTCATGATAGCACATGCGTATTTTCAGCATACTATGCTTTGAAACATATTCATTCAAATCTTGCATACTATTTAGGATCATTTGGTCTCCAAACTTGAAGGTTGCTCACCTGGTGTCCTTTGTTCACACTTCAAGCACATTATGCTGTAAATAAATATACATTTTACTGTGAGGTCACTTGTTTGAGAGTGCTTAGTTGCTCTATTGGTATTACTGTTGCATAAGGTGTAAAAGGTCTTATATTTGAATCTCAGATAAGCTGACTTTTTAAGAAAAAATAGCGGGGGTGCATTTGGTTGAGTTTTGTTTTGCATTTTATTGGACTTGATTAGCTTGACCTCAGTTGTTCAGCATCGTTCACATTTGGCTTCAAGCAGGTGAAGAGACTTTTTCATGACCAGGCAGAGATGCAGCAGAAGTGAGAGGGGGCGGCAGGGCGTCAAGTATGCAGAATGAGCTCACTAAAACTTACCACAATGGTTCAAGCAAATTGATTTTTTTGACATAATTATCTTCAGTACTACTAATATATTTGTGACCCCACTGAATCATTTAAACTCTTAGGCTTTCTGCCAAATGTGGCCCTAGCAACATATTAGCAGTAAACATGTACCAATGCTGGCTCAGCGAAATGAGCATCGAGTGTTAGAGAAGAAGACTATCTATTCGTGGATGTTGATTTGAAATGCATGTGTGCATATACACACAATCCCCCCTACAAAGACATCTGTTTCTCATTTGTGTGACCTCAGCCAAGATTACTTCTGAAGGTGTGGAGGCCCAGATTAATACAAAACACTCTGCCAAGAAGAAACTGAGTACATGCAGGGGATGCAAAGTTCCATCCATCCATCCATCCATCCGACATTATAATTTGCAATTGCAAGTTTATATTTCACAATTCTGAGAAAAAAGTCAGAATTGCGAGAAAAAAGTCAGAATTGAGTTTTTATCTTGCAATTCTGACTTTATTTATTGCAATTGCGAGTTTATATACCACTATTCTGACATTATGGGCCCTATCATAGACCCGGCGCCATGCGCGACGCAAGTGTTTTTTGCTAGTTTCAGCCCAACGCAGTTGTCATTTTCACGTCCTGCGCCACGTTTTTTAAATAGCAATGCTTTTGCACCCATTTGTGCGCCCATGGGTGTGCTGGTCTGAAAACAAGGTGTGTTCAGGCTCATTGCTGGCGTGTTGCTATTTTGAGGCAACTGAAATAGACTGCGCCATTGACCAACAAAAACCTGGTCTAAAGTCTGGCGCAATATTTTTTCTTTGTTATTTAAAGATCACGTTAGTAATATGAGCCTATAGACGGGTGCACAACGCACGTACACTTTGCTTATTACACACACAGCGACGCGCAGCAGCACACAAACATTTTTAAAAATGTGCGAGCGCAACTGGCTTTTAAAGGGGATGGGAGATGATACTCTGATTGGTTTATGGCACGTTACGCCCAAAACACCCATTACTCATTAAGAGAATAGGGACTACCCTTTTAGACCATGTGCCGGGCGCGCCGACCATTTTTCCCGTCCTTAAACTAGCAAAAGTGGATTCGGACACGCCCTGAGTGCACTTGCGCTGTGCGCTTTAGACCATGCGTTTAGATCGTTAAAATAGGGCCATATAACTCACAGTTGTGAGTTTATATCACGCAACTCTGAGGAAAAAAAAAAAGTAAGAATTGCAAGTTTACATTTTGTAACTCGCAATTACCTTTTTTATTTTTTATTCAGTGGTAGAAACAGGCTTCCATATTAAAGTGTACCGTAGGTGTCTAAATTTATTTGTATGTTATTATTTGTTTATTATAAGTTTGACCTTTTTGCCAAAAAAAGGATCAGAAAATGTTGCAAACTGGATTTGAACTTACATCACTTGCATGGAGAGGTTGGACTAACCACTAGATGACAGTACCCAACATTCTATTCTATTCTATTCTATTCTATTCTTCTGTAATGTCTCCATACATGTGAATTCAGCTGCACAAAGACCCTTCAAAGAATTAATTCCATTGAAATCTACAGCCAGCATCACCTTGTGCAGCTGCAGAACAAAGTGTGTCTTTATCCTGTGCTCTTTCACACAGGTAAACACACACACAGCTCATACATGAAGCAGTAATTAGCAGCATCAGGGTGTGATCCCTCCGCAGTGTGGGTGTTGAGTGAGGCCTAAAATAATCCAGTGAAGAATGACGAATCCCTCGAATGAAACTCATTATCAGCTGCAGCGTTCCAGCAGGCTGAAGGCTCTGTGTACCTGGAACATATAATCACAGGCTTCCAAAAATCCCCTCAGTAACTCTTTGTCTAGACTTCAGAGCTGATGTGCGGCGAACATCACCAGTCAAGTTGCGTTTGTAAAGAGATCACACGTTTTGGGAATCAGAGATGATAGGCAAAGGAGTTGTGGAGAAAGTGATTGTGTGTGTTGTTGCAAATCCTATTTATAGATTCAGACATAGTGGCAACTGTTATCATGTACTCTACGTTTTGTTGCTCAGTGTTTATTAGTAGGAGAACTATAGTAGTATGCTAAAATGGCATATTTCAAGTTTATGATTATTATTATTATGTATCTATTTATTTATGCATTTTCTATGACTCAAAGGGCAGGTGCACGGTGTTTCCATTAGTTTCTTCAGGGTTTTTTGCTTTTTTTTTTTGCTTCTCACACTGTTGTATTTTTTCCTCTCTCTCTTTCTGCAGATCTCTCTATAGCCCGGTCCAGAACTGTGCAGTCATGTTCAGGAACAGTCTGAAGATGCTGCTTGGCGGCAAATCCAACCGCAAGAATCGAAACAGTGGTAGGTTGAGTTTTCCCTAGCTTCCCTACAACCGGACCCCCATGCAAAATGCAAAACTGCAATGAACTTTTGTCATGCAGTCAGTGTCAGTTTTCAAAAGAACCTGGGGGTAAGACAAACCTCTCAAGCTTAATGCAGCTTTAACATTTGGTAGAAGAGAGTGGTTTAAAATGTGTCAGTGGGTAAGCTATGTTTATCCAAGTAATTTTTCTACATAAATTTTATATCAAAGCAAACTTATGCTCTTTCGCGTTAGTCAGCTACTAATGTATAAAGTCATGCAAATGATTTAGCTAAAACAGAATTAAGTGAAGCACATTTTCCAAAATGGTAACTGTGGGGTAAAGTGTTTAAATATTCTGATAATTAAACTTTTTTTGGATGATATATGAAAATGTGAATAATGTGCAGGAAAATAAAAACTGAGCATAACTTACAAAGACAAGCCTGTGCGCTTACAACACTCCTTGAGGTCCCATTCTGTTGTGCTCTGTCTAGCATTTTTTAATATGAAAAGATGTGTTTCTATATGTCTGTGTGTGTATTTTAGCTCTCAGAGAGACTACAGGCTTGTGTTGAGAGGATTACAGTAGTCAAAAGCAACTGTTGGAGTGAAATTAGGATTCTGTCAGCGTCTGCAAGTGAACCGAGCCAGATGAAACTGAAACGGTGCTGCTCAATGAATGAGCACACACTTTCAGAGCACTGCTGTATTTTGCTGGTGTAGCAGAGTTTGAAAATAAACCTCCTTTCAGCGCTTATAAACAGGTTGCTGCATTCACATATAACTATTATGACTATTTTGTGTAACTGCACTGGCAGGTTTTTCCACTTGTGTTTACAATTTGTTTATACATCTGCCAGTCTAGAAAGACATTATACATATTAAAGATACACTACCATTCAATGGTTTGGGGTCAGTAAAAACATTTTTTTAATGAATACTTTTTTTCAGCAAGGATGCATTAAATTGATAAAAAATGACAGTCCTTTACAAAGAAATCAAATGTTCTTTTGAACATTATGTTTATCAAAGAATCCTGAATCATCATGGTTTCTCAACAAAAAAAAAAAATATTAAGGAGAATGGTTTTAACTGCGATAATAATAATAGGTTAAATGTTTCTTAAGCAGCAAATCAGCATATTAGAATGATTTCTGAAGGATCATATGCACACGAATAAATTGTATAAAATAGAAAACAGTTACTTTCAATTTCACAGTATCGTTTTTTTCTATATTTTATTAAATAAATACAGCATTGGTGAGAATAAGAGGCTTTTCAAAAACATTATATTAGTTATACATTAAACTTGTCTACAGCTGCATGTAAAAAAAAATAAACAATTCTAACCAATGCCAAACTTTTGAGTGTACATTCTCTTAAAATAGATCCTAATATCTTATGGAGTGTTGCTGCTCAAGCAAATTGATCTTGTTTTGAAAATTCCTTTGTTTTAACTGGAAAATAAAAAAATTAAAAAAAATTATTTATTTTTTTGGCAGTTTATTGATACTCTTTGGGGTTTGAGATTCATTATGATGTAGTTTGCTTTTTGTGAATGTACATTTAATTTCACATTGATTAAGTTTTTAATAGTTGTCAGTGGCCAAATCCTGACAAATATATTATTATTTATGGTCATTGTTAAAATCAATATTCAGTGTAATAAAGCAGAAATCACTTCTGTTACACAGAAGAAACTACTATTGCTTGTGAATCAGGCCTAGGATCTTGGCTATGCCGGAGAGGAACTGCAGTAGTAAGAAGTGGAGATCTCTGTGTACACTCTTTCAGGGTTGTGGTAGAGCTATGTGCGATGGATGAGGAGGGTGTGTTTGTTTGTCTGTGTGCTTTCTTGTTAGCTGTGTTTGCTTTTGATTTTCACTGGAGTTTGGCTCTGTGACTGCAAGGACGTCCACGACTGCAAACTTTTGTTTACCTCACACACAACATGTACATGTGCTCAAACCCACATATACTTTACCTCCCTTCATACCTCAGGTCTGTCTGAATCTCCCATAAAGCTTTAGTCAAACAAGTGGCAAGTCTGACTCACCCAACAGACCAAGCCATTTACCTCGGTGAGATGTGTATCAAAGGGACCTCACACTTCCCAGAAAGACCTCCTGTCTTCAGTCGGTGTCCTCAGACTGTGGTTGAAATTCATGCTAGTTTGGTGAGGTCTGGAGTCATTTTCTCTTCAGGGCCTGCAGCTCCCCTATAAGCTTGAAGGGGCCAATTTAGTTCCAGTGCACTTTAGGGTGTCATAACTGTCATGGGTTTAGATAAATGTAAAGCTGTTTGAACAGCCCCATTGAAAAAAATGACAGAAGTACATAGCATTAGAAACTATAGAAGATGCTCATTAAGCAAATTATATTTAAGTTAAAATATTTACCATAAAATGAGAGTAAGCAGTATTATGGAAGATATAGGATCAAGTTGGTGGTTCTAAGACTTTTAGTGGTATTCAGACCATAAATCCTCTTTGATAGAAATACTACACTGATCATTTTGTGTTGTCAGAAGGTCTACTGTGATTGATTTTAGTGAAATTGTTCATTCAAATGGTTTTCATTGAACTAATTCACTAAAATTATTCACAGGACTATTTGAAACAGGACCAAAGTACCATTTACTGTAACTACAATAGGCTACATATTGTATGTCATAAAATAAATATCTTTTCTATTATTATAATTTATTCATAGTTTTTTTTTTCTAGTGATCCCCATGCAAAATAAATAAATAAATAAAATAATTGAGTTCCACAAGAAAACAAAGTTAAGTTTAGATGGTCATATGAGTTGGCAAATATTACCTGCAATCATGCTATTTATTTGTTTATTTAAATTTGCATTTGAAATCCACATGTAAAAATGAGCATGACAATAAAATAGATTTTGTTGTTGATAAAGTGATATTTCTCAAGTTATTTTAAGTTGTTCATCTTTTATTTTTGAATCATTTTTAAATGTTTTGCAGTTCATCCGAATCATTAAAAGCGATAAGGGGTAGATGCTGAGGTTTATTTGTACTTGACATTAGAGTGCCAGTGTTTCTGGCTTAAAAGTGTCATTCACATACGAGGTTTCTCGAAAAAGAAAAGTATGCCATAGACTTGATTTACTCCAACCCCAGTTGTCCTTTTTAAATTCATTAGGCTTGAGTTTTCAAATAAGCCTAGACACCAATTCTCAATCAGTGCAGAAGAAGTGTCCTGTTGTTGTGAGGCCTGTGGGTTTGTCTGTTTTGTATAACAGCTGTATTGTTGTACTCGTCTTTGATCCCGTCTTTAGACTGGAGGATTTGTCATACAGTAATAGCTCTCTTCACTCGGCATGTCTCCTCGTATCCTGCAGTACTACATATGTGGAGTGCTTGTGTAGTTTCTGGTGTAATTTTTTAAATTCCTTCCTGCTTTCTTTTTTCTTTCAGTATTCAGTTTGATGCAAATGCAGCTCTCTGGGCTGAATATATTTGCCATAAATTAGATCTGCACAGCCAGCAACTTGCAGAGCACAGCAGAGGAACTGAGCTCCACGGTGAAGAAAAAAACACGTGTCACGGGGCGATTGATGGCTAGCCTCTAGACCCCTCAGACATCGTGAGCAGAATCCTAACAGTCTCAAACAGCTGCCAGCAGCATTGACCCATGCATGAGCCCTGTGTGGTTTGAATATGATGCAAGCCTGTATAAAAACCGCAGGTGATATTTTGCCTGTAGCGTGTCATTGCACTGGCTGATTTTGACAGATGTGGTTGCGGCAGGTTTGATTAGTGTAATTATTTTTATAGAGAGGGAAACAAATACATGCTGACGAATGCTGATATTGGAATATTTGGATAATGTATGGTGAAACTGATATCTGTCCTGTTTAATTGGGCAAATTTGTTTCAAGATTGATACCAAAAACCAATGTAAGCTATGGAAGTCCCTATTTAGGGTGAAACAACACACCGTTTCTTTAGCCTGCCTACTGTATAAATAAAAAACATCAAAGCATGTATATTCTTTTAGTTTTGGGCCAACTTTAGACTGGGGTTGTGCAGCATTCAGAATTTAATTGAGAATACCCCTTAAATTCCTAAATTTGAATTAAGGTAGCAAACAGCATTGTAGAAATGGAATGTAAGGAAATTGAATTTAAATTTGAATGAAATTCAGATAATGATAATGAATGAAATTGAAAGAAATTCATATAACATTTTACCTAGAAATGCAAGGTTTGGCACGACAAATGTAGCCTAAATGATTGTTTATTTGACAAAGCCTTACCAGAAAGTCTTGAATGGATGGATGATAACTGTTGAATCTTTTTGTACTGTAATTCCGTAAATTACGCTTCCTGTAGTTCAAATTCTAATTCAGCTTCCTGTGTAGCGGTCAGTTTAATTCAAATTCAAACACATGATTTAAAAGGGAGCGATTCCTAAGTTCTGCATTTAGCACAACCGTGATTGGCAATTGCTTTACTGGTGGAAAAAACATGATGTTGAGGTTAAAGTCTGGTGTGATGGATAATGTAGGTGCTCAGCTCTTCTCGCAGTAGCTAGCCAGTTGGGTGAAGCCCAACTCTGCCTGGTAATTGCAGTCTTTTCAGTAATCTATGTTTGGGAAACCCAATCAGGTTTAGCAAACCAGTTAGCGTGAATGGAGCCCCCAAAGCTGTTGACTTTTTGAAGCTGTTGGATTTCAGAATGAATTTCTAGTCCTTCAGAAGATTAGTAACTAGTCATTTAGCAGACACTTTCACATAAAGCAGTTTAGTTATTACAGGACCGGTAACCCTGGTGTGCCTTATACAAGCGCACTGGTGTGACTCATGAGTTGAACCAACAACCTTTTAGTTTCAAGCCCAGATCTTCATCTATTTGATTCTGTTAATGCTGTTTATGGTGCATTGGTGCAAAGTCATCTCTAAACTTGCTAATAATGTAAAAAAATACCCCATAACCCCTTTATTTCTGTCAAATTTCCTCAGGTTATCCACAT